GGATCAGCCTGAGGGGAGTGGTATATAGATGGAAGGATCAGCCTGAGGGGAGTGGTATATAGATGGAGGGATCAGCCTGAGGGGAGTGGTATATAGATGGAGGGATCAGCCTGAGGTGAGTAGTAAGAACATGGAGAGTATATAGATGGAGAGATCAGTCTGAGGTGAGTGGTAAGAACATGGAGAGTATATAAATGGAGGGATCAGCCTGGGGTGAGTGGTAAGAACATGGAGAGTATATAGATGGAGAGATCAGTCTGAGGTGAGTGGTAAGAACATGGAGAGTATATAAATGGAGGGATCAGCCTGAGGTGAGTGGTAAGAACATGGAGAGTATATAGATGGAGTGATCTCCCTGGGATAAATGCTGAGGACATGGAGAGTATATAGATGGAGGGATCAGCCTGAGATGAGTGGTAAGAACATGGGAGAGTATATAGATGGAGGGATCAGCCTGAGATGAGTGGTAAGAACATGGGAGAGTATATAGATGGAGGGATCACCCTGCAGTGAGTGATGAGGACATGGAGAGTATATAGATGGAGGGATCAGCCTGAGGGGGTTGGTAGGAACATGGAGAGTATATAGATGGAGGGATCAGCCTGATATGAGTGATGAGGACATGGAGAGTCCATAGATGGAGGGATCAGCCTGCGGTGAGTGATGAGGACATGGAGAGTATATAGATGGAGGGATCAGCCTGTGGTGAGGACATGGACAGTGTAAAGATAGAGGGATCAGCCTGCGGGCACATGGGGAATGTATAGATGTGGGGCTGCAAGATAAGGGGCAGGAGGTTTTTTTGATTCGATTGAAGCAGAACTCTGGTTAAATGAAAAGCACGAGGAGTGTCTAAATCACTAAATATACCCAACTGTTGCTTTTTAGGCAGCAGCCTATGAAGAAGTCGATTGGTTCCCAGAATGTACCACAGAGATTCCAGATGCCGACGAGCTCTCTGACTGGATGACAGTAGGCAAGGTATGATATTAATTGGCAGTAATGAGAAGGAAGAGTGTTAGGATCAACATTGGTGTCTTTGGTTTGCTTCAGAAGTACTTCTCTCCCCATATATTCTAGGGGAATGCAAAGGCATATAAAGTAGGTCAAATGCGCCTACAATCAATTCTGAATTCCTGGTTGCAGGTCGTATTCCTGTCGTAATACGGTAGCCAGTATTCCACCATCCATGCTGTTTAACATGGATGGGGGAATCAACTGGTTTCACTTTTTGAACATTTGCTGATCGATAAAAACGTGTATGGCTAGCCTAAGTCCCTCTTTTTTTAATCCCTAAGCAACGGCTGCTTTCTCTGATTTGCTTCAGTCATGAAATAACTTGTGATTCTTCTAGTCCCTTCAGAAAACAAGCCACTTCCTGTTTGCAACTGACCACGATAGGCATGGAAGCAAATCCACGTTTGTGTCGTCAGTTTGCATCTCTTCTTCTGACATGGGAGATACAGGACGCCGTGCGTCTAGTCTCACAGAATACAGCTGCCATGCCCTCTGTCCAGCTCTACACAGTGTTAGTGGTTTTGATCTTGGTTGTAGACATCCAATTTCGAGAAATAAAGACCATCCCAGACTTCTATTTCTTCAACTGCAGCAGTAGCTGACCTCATCCTAGTGCAGGGGTAGGCAAGCTAAACAAGTGGGGTTTCCATGGACAAAGCGTCTTTTGCATACTCTGCTCAGCCCGCCTTTTTAAAAGGAATTTAATTAGAACTTTAGAAAGTTTATTTTGTTAGAATAATGTTCTCTTCTTTCATGAAATTCATATATACTTTAACCCCTTCATGACCAGTGCCGGACAGTGTATGTCACTGGCAATGGGCCCGTTTAAACAGAAAAGCCGCCAGGACTCTGTTTACCTTTGTAAAGCAGACAGTCGGCTTTACAATAGAAGCGATTCTGGTGACTCAGCTGTCGATAGATCGCTTCTACAGGCTAGTTAACGGGCCCCCCACCCCCGCCGTGTTTCCCGGTCTCCGTTGCCCCTCCTACGTGCCCGGGACCGACATCTCGGGTGTCGGGGGTAAGCTGGGGTGGGGAGCAGCGAATGTCCGTTCACCGATCTCCTCCCTGTACTATGGGACCGGGAGCGATGCAGATTACATCACTTCCGGTCCCATAGCTGTCCTTGCTCGGCTCCTGAAGCCTGCAATCTGCACTTCGATAGCTTATTTAGTGAGCTGGTCCCGGGATCCAAGATGGGGCAGCGAACGAGCACATATAGGCAATCGGCGGGCTATGGACCCGCTGATCGCCTATATGTGAAACACCCGGTAACGGGTGTGTGCAACGGTCGGGTCTTTTCTGCCCGTGCGTGCCCGCTAGGGGGCGCGCGCGAGCAGAAAAAAATTGCCGTCCGGAGACGGCAACCCGCAAATGCAGCAGTGCCGTCCGTCCGTTTTTTTACTACGGGCGGACGGCAAGAGGTTAAAGAGTACATGTAACCACTAATTTGCTATCACATCAGGCCTTGTAATCCCCCCTATGTGATAGCAATTGAAGTAAAGTTTAAAAAATAAAACAGTAAAAAATTTTTATATTAAATTAAATAAATGTAAACATTATTTTAAAAATGTTTTTAAAGTCCCCGCCCCCGCGAGCATTTGTGCCTTCATGTAAACATGCGTCGGGTGCGCCTACGTATGAAAACGACGATCGCACTACACATGTTGGGTATCGCCGCGCACGCCAGAGTGAGAGCAATAGTTCTAGGGCCAGTATTCATGCGTATCTCTAAAATGATGACCTTTAGGGGCTTTTAAAGTGTCATCTATGGACTTTTTTGTGTACTGAATTTTGTTGCAGTTTCACGGACGCACACAATTTGTAACCTGGGCATGTTGGGTATCTATTTACTCGTCGTAACCTCTTCTTTTATAGTTTATAAAAAAATTGGTATTGTTTTTGGGGATATTTAAGTTAATTTTTTATATAATGTTGGGGTTTGATAAGGAGTTGCGCTAATATCGTGCAAAATAAAAATTTGCAACTGCCACCATTTTATTCTTCAGCTTTTTGGCTTTCAGAAACTATATCATGTTTGGGGGTTTTAGGTAATTTTCAGGCCTAAAATGTGAATTATAACATGTAAACAAAAAAATGAAAAAAAAAGGCCTTGGTCATGAAGGGGTTAATGTTCCTTGCTGCTCACTTGTGTTACAGAGGAAAATGATCATAGATGATGAGACAGAATTCTGTAGAGAACAACTGCTGGAAAGCCTCTTGGAGTGTAAGGTAAGACTGTCACCTTTTACCTAAATACTGGGGTACCATAGGGATAGGAGAATGTACCTTAAAATGTTTGTAAACCCAGGAAAAGGTAGGAGGGGGCGTTAAAGTGACACTAAACTCAAGAATTGAACCTTAAAAATACATTCAAGTATCCAAACTATTAACAAAAATGTATCTTATTTGTGTATCACTCGGCTACATGAAGGAATTAAGATTGATCTCCTGGGTTTAGACTCGCTCTTTGCTCTGCAATAATACCGCTCAGGTTTGCTTCTAGTTGCCACATTTGGCTTTGTGTTGCAGCTGAGTACATTTTGAAACTTACGATATATAAAACACGATGTACTGAAAGTAGAAACTACAAATCCTGTGTTCCTATTTCCTGTCCTGATTTGCATGTGACTTCCTGTGATATATTTATTTGAAATAAGAATACTTTGGTGTTTTGTCTTAAAGAAAATACGTTTTTTACTGTGAGCATCTATATACATAATGTATTTCTCAGTAGAACAATATGGGTTGTCATTATAAACAATTCGCAGAGCCATTTGCCCTGTGAAGCTCTGTGAGTATTTTGCGGAGGCAGGGTGCTGTGGTGTTTTCACCCTGCCGGCCCTCCCCACCATCCATGATCTGCTTGCATTGCATGGAGAAGCACAGAGCCCCAGTAATGATGTTACTGGGTCTCAAATAAGTTACGTAGTCAAAACGGAAAGGTTTTATTTAAAAATTGTTATGAACATGTTGATAAGGGGGAATGAAATGCAACTTCCGCTAGAATGTGCTCATTAAAAGTATTTCACAGAGGAGATTCTTAATCCAAGTTCCCAACCTTTCCTTTTATCTCTTGAAGAGCGCATTTGATGAGCTTGAAGGCGAGGAGATGAGAAGGGCTAGGACACGCTCAAATCCGTACGAGATGATCCGAGGGGTCTTCTTCCTGAACAGGTGAGTACCACTCTTTGCCCCGGTCAGTCAGCACATAAATATTGGTGTCTTGTATCAATGGCTTACATCAACCATCAGCAAGTAACTGTGGTAGATCAGATCCTGTCCTGGGCAGGCTTTCACGTTCCTGTCTTGTTTGCCGTGTAAATACCAGGCATAGACAATTGGCAGGTAGACATCCTCATCTGACAATTACCTGGACCTGGGGGAGTGGTCCATGCACTCGGCAGTGTCCTTATTAGTCTGGACTGGCCCAGGTGGATGTGTTATGCTGACCTAGTAAGGCTCATGTACGGTCCATGGGCTGCCAGATCGCCAGGATCTTCTGCCCTAAGGACCAGTAGGCCCTCCTGCTTCACGGTTGTACGCATTAAGGGATGACTGTTAAAGTCCTCATTTTTGGAGAAAGGGTTATCTCTGAATATGTGATTTTTGCAATATAAAAAGATAATAAGGCTACTCCTGGCAAGGTTTATAATCTGATATGGTAGTAGGCTTATTTCACTTGGCGTGAGTCTCAGGACTTCCACCCTGGCAATTTCTCTGTGGAACAAATCCTCTTCTTGCTGCTGCTGGGCCTTGACTAGTGTTTGGCTCTCGAAAAGCATTAAAGGTCAGGTTTCTGCCCTTTCTGTTGTGTTTCACAGGCCATTGATTTCTTACTCCTTGATTAGGACCTTTGAACAAGGAGTCTCCAATGTATCCCCTGTGACTCCTTGAGATCTGAATTTGCTTCTGTCTTGACCAGAAACCGCCCTTTGAACCCATTAGTGACATTCCTCACTCACTCATTAGGTGGTTTTCCTTGTAGCCACCACCTGTATGAGGCCAGTGTATGAACTGGAGGCCTTATCCTGCAAGTAACCCTTTCTGGTTTGCATAGGGACAAGGTGATGTTAAGTCCTTCGTTCGTGCCTAAAGTAGTTTCTTTTCTTTAAGCAAGACATCATGCTTCTGTCCCTCTGTCCAGCTCCTTTTCAGAGAAAAGGAGGTTTCCCTCCATTGGCTGGATGTGATTCAGGATGTGAGAGTCTATCTTTCAGCTACTACATTTTCCAGAAAGACATTCTTTTTTGTCATATTGGATGGTCGTCATAAGGGTACACCGACTTCTTGTTCCACCATCTCTAGGTGGCTCAGACAAACCATCATTCAAGCTTATGGTCTCAAGGATGAGGTTCCACCCTTACCTATCAAGGCCCACTCTACTAAATATGCAAATGCTTCTTGGTCTTTTCAAGGAACTTTTCCAGATTTGTAAGGCTGTCACCTGTTCGTCTGTTTACACGTTCTTCCCCAAGTTCTACCAGGTGGACGTTGTGGCCTTATCTGATGACAGCTTCAAGAGTAAGGTCCTTCAGGCCACTCTTTGAGCTGCAGGCAGTCCCTAGGTCTTCGTTTTCTTTGCCCTGTTGGCATTTGTTTACTGTGTTGCCGACCCCTCAATTGGACTGCTTTTGGATGTCCAGAAGGTGAAGGCTTTCAAGAAATCAGTAACGTGTTTGGATCCTGCAGAGGACTTGATCCATACTAAAACCTTGCAGGGCCAAAATACATTCGTTTTCTGGATACAAGCCGATGTGCTGTCATCGTGTATGAAGTTTACAGTGGGTGGGCAGGGACTGTCATACATTTTAAATGACTGTGAATCCCAGAAGTTAAGGGTTATCTGACGTATCTGCATGTATAGGCACATGCCAACTAAAAGTGCCCCGTGAACCGATGGGTGGGAAGTGCGTAGATGAACTTACGGGAAAGAGATAATTCAGAGTGTGTGTCACCATTGTGAACATGTTCTTTATTAATCCAGAGAGGAGGCAGGGCAGTGTCACCTTACAGAAGTGGAGGTTGTGAATAGTGTTGTCACTCTCCTGGTGCATCTTTATAACACAGCAGAGATGGGGGGCCCACAAAAGAACCTGCATTAGTACGAAAGCATTTTGTCAGGTTAAACTGTTCCTATATATGGTTTTTTTTTGGGGGTATAGTTACTGAGATTGCCCATTTATGTTTTCCTAAAACGTATAACTAGCGAGATAAAATGCTTAGTGTAAACAATATGTATATATATAATCCCCCAATCCCAAAATGTGTGTGACGTGTCTGCCTCTCCCTTTCAGGGCAGCTATGAAGATGGCAAATATCGACCACGTGTTTGATTACATGTTCACCAATCCTAAGGATTCCCAGGGGGTAAGAACTTTTCTTGGCCTTTCTCTGTATGTTGGGCATTAGCTAAAGTGTCATTGTCACCTTTTGGCTGTATTTGCCATGTAATCTTTGTCAAAAAGCTGAAGCTGCCTGCGCTGCTCTTTTGCCAGCTTGGCCTGGGTTGTCAACCATCATCAGAGACCATGCGATGGCCTGGGTGTCACCCGTCACCAGAGACCGTGCGATGGCCTGGGTGTCACCCGTCACCAGAGACCGTGCAATGGCCTGGGTGTCACCCTTCACCAGAGACCGTGCCATGGCCTCGGTGTCACCCTTCATCAGAGACCGTGCCATGGCCTGTGTTTCACCCATCACCAGGGACTGCGATGGCCTGGGTGTCACCCATCACCAGGGACCGTGCCATGGCCTGGGTGTCACCCTTCATCAGAGACCGTGCCATGGCCTGTGTGTCACCCATCACCAGGGACCATGCCATGGCCTGGGTGTCACCCATCACCAGGGATCCGTGCGATGGCCTGGGTGTCACCCATCACCAGAGACCATGCGGTGGCCTGGGTGTCACCCATCACCAGAGACCGTGCAATGGCCTTGGTGTCACCCATCACCAGAGACCGTACTAAGTGCCTGCTGTTCTATTGTGTACCGAAAGCAGGAGTTGGGTGTTTTTCTCTTAGATTAGTTTAGATTTGGTCAGGGCAATGTAGACATTCACATGTGGGAATTGACATAGTGAATATTCTTGTCTCTTCTATTCTCTAGAAGCCACTGGTAAAAGATAAGGACTCGGAGTTGCTGTACTTCGCAGACGTATGCGCCGGACCGGGAGGCTTCTCTGAGTACGTCTTGTGGAGGAAGAAATGGCACGCTAAAGGGTATGGCATGACCCTGAAGGGACCGAATGACTTCAAACTAGAAGACTTTTACGCAGCATCCAGTGAACTTTTTGAACCGTATTATGGTAAGTACTCCTCAATTAAAAGACAACCCCACCAGATGCATATAGGTCATGTTATATTAGGCAAAATATTGGTAAAGTAATACACATGATCGTTTAAGTGCCCTCCAATACGCTGTATCGGATACATAACATGAAACGAGGGATGATGTATGAGAACACTTTTCACAGGCTTTAATTCTAGTAAAAATGGAGCTCAAGAGGAATCCAAGATTCTTTCTAAGTGTTGTGGGGGATTTGGCTGCATTGGTGGGAGGAGGGGGGGTGTGGCGACTATTCTGCGCAAATCAGGCTATTAGAGCTGATTGCTTTGGAATCTTTCCTGCAGTTGCTCCCCTATTATTCTATAGTCCGAGATGTTAATGATGTCATACGGTGGCATTCATTTCTGTTTGTGCAAGTTGTCCCCTGTGTGGTGAGCTGTGCTATAAATGAATGAAATGTGACATCAGGAGCAGATCTTTGACCGGAGGGGGGGTCACAGCATGGTGGCTGTGCAAATGTTTGTGTATGCCACAGCTGCACTCACTCTTGTGTGTAATCAGCTTCCTGCTGAGGGGGCGGAAATTGTTCTCTTGAACGTGCAGCTGCTCTTATGATAGCTGCTCCTGTGGTCAGAGCAACTGTCAATCAAGCAGGCCTGGGCTGAATGGGGCATGCCAGCCTGTGAAATCACTGGCTGCCTGGGACTTCAGGTAAGCTGCCTGTCAGCACGGCACCCGGTATGTCCCAGGAAGGAAGCAGGGATAAATGCTGACCACCCTAGGCATGGATCTGTTCCTGTGCTTGGCGTGGTTTAAAAACAATCAGGAAGGGCTTCCAATACAAGGGCACTAGCAGGATAGACAAGTATCTACCGAGGTCTCTGCTCCTTATTTAAACAAAAGCTACATATATGTTAATTTTAAGGGACAAAGGAATGTAATCCTTAATTTTTTATAATTAAGACTAAAGGGTTAGTTCACCTTTTCATAAAACATGATAAGGTTAACTAACTTACAACACCATCCAAAATCCCCATTCCCCCCCCCTTTGCTCCACTTAGCTCCTGCTCTGACCATTTACTGCCACCCACGCCAGCCACTGTAACAGGCCGCCCACTCCCCAGGCCTTCCCTGAGGCGGTGTAGCATCATAATGGTGGCAATAGGGAGCAGTCATTGGTCTGTGCGACCATGTGACTGCGCATACCACTGGGTATCTTTTCTTTTTTCTTGGATTCCATCCTGGAAGAAAGAATGCTCAGAAGAGATTCTCATTGGTCAGCGTAATCACGTGGCTGTTCTTACCAATGACTGTTCCCCAGCTCGCTCTCCTAGCTCAGCTTCCCTAAACTTGTCCAGTACAGGGTCATAAGGGACAGCATAGTCTCCAGCAGTGTCCATCTGCTAGCTTGGAGAGAGGGGATAAGGAAGGGTAGTGTCTGGCTTTGGTGTGCCTATGTGTTTGTAGAGACATGCACAGCTTACTAGCACACACAAAGGTGACTCCATAGGACCCTGCAAGGGAAAGGAGCCACCGTAAAACAGGATATTGGGGCCAGTGCTCAGGGGGCCAGCTGATTCTGCAAGAAACTAAAACTTTTAAACATCAAGGAGCAGCGTCCATTGTAAGTGATTTTATCAGCATTAGCAAATATTAAAACCCTTTTGGCTTTAACATGCACTTTAAACTTTGTTATGAACATTCACTTGGGCTTAAAAAAAAGTTGCAGGACACTCGGCATCTCTCCCTACCTCTTGTAATGCTGTTCAGAATCATATTTTTTTTTTGCTTTGCCTGTCATCATTTTCATTCTCTGCCCTGCAGGTGAAGGAGGAGTTGATGGTGACGGAGATGTCACCCGACCAGAGAACATCACTGCTTTCCGGAACTTTGTTTTGGACAATACAGATCACAAGGGTGTTCACTTCATGATGGCTGACGGGGTATGTCTTCACCAGAGTCGCTGTATATCTGCTTGAGTAGCTGACCGTGGCCATGGGGGAAAGGAAAGACAGAAGTGGGATGGCAGAAAAAGACCAAGCGGTTCATCATTTTTTAAAAATTTTTTAACTTTTCTTAGTACAGTGGTACCTCGGTTCGCAAACAGGACGTTCGGCAAAATTTTGCTCCTGTTCGCGAACTCCGCATCGGGTGACGAACACAACTGCCATCTTCCCCGCTCTGACACATGGTCATGGCTTCCTCTAGATCGCGGTTTGATCACAGTTTGATTCGGTTCGCGACCAATTCGATTCGCGACCAGAATCGTGGAGCGAATTAAGTTCGTAAACCGAGGTACCACTGTATAGATCTATGTTTGTCCCAAGCCTTTTTAATGGCATATTCCGTTATTTAGACCATTCTTCACCCATATTTACAGTGTAACATGAGGCATAGTCAAATGCACCATTCCTCAAACACCCCAACTTACCTTAATCGCAGGGTGCTTCCTACATTAGAGTGGTTGTGTCATCCATTCATTGGGACTGCTCAATAAAAAAAATACTAGGGCTGGTAATGATTAAAATTTTTGTGTTCGATTAATCGAAATGTTTTAAATCGGTTAATTTCAATTAATTATAACGCACATACAGATCCAACTACATTGGCCTATACACATACAGCACAGCAATGAAGTAATAAAATGCACTAGGATCACACTAATCCAGCACGTTATTAATCTCACGTGCCCCACTCAATATGGCCGCCGCTTAAGTGGGGCAACTCAGAATAATAACGTGCTGGATTAGTGTGATCCTAGTTCATCTTATTACTTCATTGCTGTGCTGTATGTGTATAGGCCAATGCCTTGGCTGGCGCTCATGCAGAAAGTTTCTTGGGCAAACTCACCGGACATCGACGTCACCGGGGGGAGGAGTCCGGTGACGTCTGTGATGTAACTGGATCGCCGGTGGGACTCCCGGAAGCCGGCGTAGAGGTGAGTGTTTTCATTAGCGATCAAAATAATTTAAATCGATCAAAAAGTTTAACGATTAATCGAGAAATTAATCTTTAATTTCCACAGCCCTAAAAAATACAAGGTTTCCCATCTGCTTAAGTGACAGAGGGACTCAGCAGAGCCTGCCGGCAGCAGGGCAGTGATATCCCTTCAATTGTAGTACAGCCAGCACTTCCTCTAGCTCAGGGGTGGGCAACTCCGGCACTCCAGCTGTGCTTTAACTACAAATCCCAACATGCTTATGCCTATGGGAGTCAGGCCTGTAACTATCAGTCTTGCAGTTCCTCATGGGACTTGTAGTTTTATAGCAGCTGGAGGGCCCGGAGTTGCCTTCCCACTGCTCTGGCTCCAAAAAATAAGGTCTGTACCTCTTTGCAGACCTGTGGCTGGGGATAAACCATGCAAGAGCCTTTGCATTGGACCCGTGACACACTGATGCTCTGCAGTCCTGATTTAAAAAATGTAGTAAAAGCACATTTTTTATTACATCACTGTTGGTGCATCAACTGAATTTTTTTCAGAATGTGGGCTTTGCCTGTTGAGCGTGGTCACTACCTCTGTAGACACTACCTTCAAGTATCGACTACACTTTCTCTAAAATAATACTTTTCGAGGTTAGTTTTGTACTTTGCTCCTCTGCAGTTTGGGTGTTCAGCAAAATGGCCGGTGTGCTATCAAAGTTTGTGACTACGTTAGAATGTGTGACCGGTGATGTGGTCACACATTTTAACGTAATCCCGCCCAGTTTTTAGGCGGTGGCATGTGTGACCACCAATAGGTGAAGAATTCCAACGCTTTCTCAGCTGTTCCTGGGCAGATCAGTTCTCCTGCACATACGATCTGCCCTGGCGATAGGTGAAGAATGCACATACGATCTGCCCTGGCGATATGTGATAGGTGAAGAATGCACATACGATCTGCCCTGGCGATAGGTGATAGGTGAAGAATTCCAACGCTTTCTCAGCTGTTCCTGGGCAGATCAGTTCTCCTGCACATACGATCTGCGATGGCGATCTGCCCTGGAACAGCTGAGAAAGCGTTGGAATTCTTCACCTAATGGTGGTCACACATTTCACTGCCGAAAATCTGGGCGGTATTATGTTAAAATGTGTGACCAGGTCATCGGTCACACATTCTAATATAGTCACAAACTTTGATAGAATACCAGCAGGATTTGATGCTGTGTAGAAACCAACTTTGTAGACTGTTAACTAGAACTGTTTTAGATTGCACAGTGTTAAGAGGTTGCTGTGTGTATGGATGTACTTAAGTGTTCTACTTCTTATAGGGGTTCTCGGTGGAGGGTCAGGAAAACATTCAGGAAATTCTAAGCAAGCAGCTTCTTCTCTGCCAGTTCCTGGTGGGACTGTCTGTAATCCGGACTGGTGAGTTCTGTATAAGTTTGTCTGTGTTACCAATCCAAATGACTTCTGGATATATTAGAGAACCTGTATAAGCATTTTTCTCTTAAAGCTTAGCTTCTAATTTGTCTTTTTTAAGGTATTTATTGTGAGATTGTGATTGTGTCACTATAAATAATTATTGAGGGGAAGAGGAGGGACTTGGGTTTAAGAGAATATAGCTCACTGAAGTTCTGCTTTAAAGGTTATCTAAACCCAAGAATGCAAATGTAATTTATTGCAGCTTTCCAGTCGTTAAAAAAGAACTAAAGCCAAAACCTTCTCTTTTGGGTCGCCGAAGTACATTTACTAATGTCTTCCTGTGACCTCCTCCTGTGATCCAATGAGCACTGGAGGAATAGAGAGAGGGGAGGGGGAAATCCCTGCGGGGAGCGGTGACTGACGGTCACTGCTCTCTGCAGGGAGTAGACCGTGAGATGAGCGATCAGTAGTTTGAGATCAGGGCCGCCATTAAATCAGGCGGCCCTGATCAGAGTTTGTGATCAGGGCCGCTTGGTAACGCACTGGACTCTGGACTTAGTAATGCACTGGACTCTGGACTTAGTAATGCACTGGACTCTGGACTTAGTAATGCACTGGACTCTGGAACGCGCTGGACTCTGGAACGCGCTGGACTCTGGAACGCGCTGGACTCTGGAACGCGCTGGACTTAGTATAGCACTGGACTTAGTAACGTACTGGACTTAGTAACGCTCTGGACTTAGTAACGCACTGGACTTAGTAACGTACTGGACTTAGTAACGTACTGGACTTAGTAACGTACTGGACTTAGTAACGCTCTGGACTTAGTAACGCACTGGACTCTGGACTTAGTAACGCTCTGGACTTAGTAACGCACTGGACTCTGAACTTAGTAACGCACACTACCCACCTGAGAGTGACTCTGCAGAGCACACCATAGATCCTGCGCAGCCCATCTGAGACTGTCTATGGTGGGCTCTGCAGGGTCTCAGGTGGGCTGGTCACGCAGCTCCTCCTACCTGCTTACGCTGCTGGGGCCCGGCTTCCTTCACTGCTGGACTGTCGCTGCCGGGGACCGGCCTCCTCCACTGTCAGTGGGCCCCCCCCCAGCCATGGAACTACTGGCGGTGCGGCCCCCCCAGGGCCCGGGCCCCTTACATGGGTATCGACCGTACCCCTCTGAAGGCGACCCTGTTTATGATCGCTCAGTTCTCGAGCTATAGAGCCGGCGTATAACAGCTGCAATGCCACACGCCGGCTCACAATATTGGGAATAATACATTTTACTCTCCCAATACTTCTCCTTTTTAAATGTGGTTTTTATTACAATTAGTAGTGCCAGGTTTGTTGGCACATATAAGAGGGAGACACTTGTTAGTATGTGCTTTTGGAATACCTTTTTACATTTTACCTTGTGTCCTTCCAGGGGGACATTTCATCTGTAAGACCTTTGACCTGTTTACCCCATTTAGTGTGGGACTGACTTACTTGCTCTACTGCTGCTTTGAACGGATCAGCCTCTTCAAGCCAGTGACCAGCCGGCCAGCTAATTCTGAGAGGTGAGTGTGGTACAGAGAATCAGTGGGCAGCCATTGCTGGGGTGCTGGTGGTGTGCTGTTTGACAGTCACCATATTTATAGTCAGAATCAGAACCCAGAATTGATGACTTTTCTTGATTTATTATATGTTTGAGCAGCAAAGATGTACCTGTGTATCCTTCTGGCTGCTCTTCTGTGGGTTTGTAAAAGGAGATGATAAATTGGGTCAGTGTATTCTTTCGTAGGACCTGTACTTGAAAGCTGTGCCCAAAAAGGCAAGCATAGTGTAAAGGACTAGTCACTGTGATTGCCTATGTTCTCCCTGCGGCTGATAATTTTTCCCCACTACTGAGTCACCATACCATGTTCTGTGCTGTGTCTCTGTATGGCGGCCATCTTAGTAGGAGATCAGGGTTTTGCTCATGTCAGAACCTCCCCATGACAACTGGTGATTTGATGACTGGTGTGGTAATGATGAAGACGCAACAGGAGAGGAGAAAGAAGCACAGATCAACAAAATAGATGTAGCAGAAGCAGGGAGATCCTTGCACTGCAGGTCCTCAGGTACAGCTTCCTCTCCAGCAAGGAGAACAGTGATCAGCACAGTAATGACATCACCAAATCTCACTTCAAATCTGGTGAGACCACCAAGCAGAGGCTACAGTGCCTTAGAAGTGCTCACACTGCAGATATATAGCTATAAGCATACAGGACAAGAATGCCTAGGCACAGGGATTGCACTGATATTTTTCAGAAGGAATTCCAACACAACGTAAATTTTTCGTGGTACTGCTTAGACATAATTACCATTTCTAGATGTTCCATATAAGATTGCAAATCTTCACTTTTTGAGTTCAGGTCTTGGCTTTTGAGTTCAGGTTTGTTACCATCAGAGACAGCATATTGATAGCTTTATGCCTAGTGACTGGCTTTGTTTGATTAAGCTGCGGACTGGAAGGTCTTAAGGCCGTGACACACTGCACGCGAAGCAGCGCGGAGGGTTGGCGCGCTGCCTTTGTGAGCAGTGTGTCATGTCACTTTCTTCTCGGCACCTCAGCTTACGAGAGTTAGCAGAGCTGAGCGTGCCGAGATGAACAATTTCAACTTCAGCCAATCGGCTCGCGCGTATAAACCGGCGCGACGGGATGCGACGTCTGGCCGGTTGTTACAGACGGGCCGATTGGCTGAAGGTGCAGTCAATCATCTGGCTGCACTCAGCTCACACACTGCACGCGAAGCTCTGTGGCGGATAGCTTTGCTTCGCTCTGCACAGCTTCTCGTGCAGTGTGTCACGGCCTTCATAAGGGAGAAGTCACTGGGATGAGTCATTCACTGCTTTGTTCACAGGCTCAGTAGCTCTAGCTGCATTTTACACAAAGTGCTTTTTATTGCACATATTTCATATTTACCCGACTTAGAAAAGAAAATACAGTTTTGGTTAATCACTTGCTGACCGGGGTGTTTACACCCCCTTCCTGTCCAGGCCATTTTTCAGTATTCAGCGCTGCAGTACTTTGACCGACATGTAATCCGTCATGCAGCGCTGTACTGAAGTAAATTTTATCCAATTTTTTGGGGACAGATAGAGCTTTCTTTTGGTGGTATTTAATCACCACTGGGGTTTTTATTTTTTACTATATAATGAAAAAAGTACCAAAAATTTGAAAAAAAAACTACGTTATGTTATAAAACAGTTATTATTACCCAAATTTTTGGTAAAATATAAAAGACGGGGTCACGTCGTGTAAATAGACACCAAACATGTTAAGCTTTAAAATTGCGTGCATCCGCAAACTCGAAAAAACTACCATACCCAAAATTGCCATAGTCGACGCTTTAAACGTTTTTACCGCTCATCAGTTTAGTGTTATCAGTGATTGATGGCCTTAGAATTATTGCCCTCACTCCGACGTTCGAGGCGATGCATAACGTGCGGCGTAATGGATGCAATTGTCGTTTACGCACTTAGGCGCACTCGACGCATGTTTGCATGTTTATGTGGGGGGCGGGAGAATTAAAAAAATGTTTCTCTCCCGTTCATTGAAGGACACAGGCAACAGATCGTAGATCCTGAATGGTAGGGTAATATCGCCACCTGCAGGAGAAGGACGCTAGGTAGGTGGGGGGTTTGGCCACCGGCAGGGGCCGCCCCTAGGCTGTAATTGGTCTTTAGTTTTGTGCCTAGCGTCCTTCTCCTGCAGGTGGCGATATTACCCTACCATTCAGGATCTACGATCTGTTGCCTGTGTCCTTCAATGAACGGAGAGAAAAGGATTTTACGGTGAGTACAAAATCCTATTTTTTACATTTTTTTATTACCTTTTTATATGTGACTTTAAATTTTTTTGTAACTAATTCTTTTAAACATTTTTTTTTCACTTAACTTTATTGCTATCACATAGGGGACTAACAAGCCCCCTTTGTGATAGCCAATTTTCAGTGACAGGTCCTCTTTATGGAGACATCAGGGGTCTTTAAGACCCCTAATGTCACCTAGGGACCCCCAGAGAAGCTGATGAAGCAGAGACCTGCTTCACCAGCTTCTCTCCGGTTTCTGTACCGGAGAGTGACACTGAATGAAGGCAGTGATGTAATACACATCACTGCCTGCATTCAGAAGAGGAGAGGAGATCAAACGGAGCTCGTGTACTGAGCTCCGTTTGATCTCCGGCCGCAGAGCTGCTGTGCTGGTACCGGGCTCACACCGGGCACAGCGGAGCTCGGGATCGCCCAGCAGCGGCGGAGGGGGGCGCACACCCGCACGCAATTACAAGCGATCGGGCGTCTCTACAGACGCCTGAACGCTTGTATGTAAACAGCCATTGCAGGCTGATTGCCCGCTCGTGCGCGCCGCCTAGCGGCGGGCACGAGCGGGGCGGGATGGGACGTTTAAAAACGCCCACCCGCATTCAAGAAGCCGCTGCCCGGCCGTTTAATTACAACGACCGGACAGCAGGTGGTTAAAGTGACATTAAGGGCAAAAGCCCCCCCCCCACAGTGCTAATGTAAGGACTTACCTTAAATGATGCTTCTTAATCCGATCATCTTTCCTGTCATTTTTAGCTGTCCCTCCAGCGCTGACTCCTCTGTCCTCCTCTTCTCTGATGTCCCGCGTAGTCTGTGCGGGTTCACGCTGCTCCATAGATTTACCTTGTGTCTCTCCTCGTCTCCCGGCCGAACATCTGAACTGCTCATGCCCCCGCCTGAGAAATTTTCAGATGCTCGGACGGGAGCTTGCTAGCAGTAGATGTATGCAAAAACAAATGAGGGTTTAATATGTACAAAACCCCTCTACTTTCCCTTTAAAAGTGTTTCTAACTTGTCCATTCCCATAATAGTTTGCTGTTATTATTATTCCAAAATGCAAAGGGCAAATCTCTTTCAGATGAAAGGAAACTGACCTTCCACAGCATTCGACTATACGTTGTCTTACCCGGGCATAATTTTTATGTGCGTTTATTTATAAATTATGTTCTCATTTTTTTTCTTTACATTGTCTGTATGTCTTCATCTCTAGGTACATTGTAGCGCGCGGCTTGAAGGCGGGCATAGAAGACGTACGCAATTACCTGTTTACAGTAAACCTGCGTCTTAATCAGCTCCGTAACTCTGAACAGGACGTCAACCTTGTAGTGCCTCTGGAGGTGCTGAGAGGGGACCGGCAATTTCATGAGTACATGGTCCGCTCCAATGAGAGGTGAGAGAGTGTAAAAGCTGATCTAAATAGATCTAAAAGATCTGTTTTTTTAAATAATGATCTTTCAGGTCTATTTTTTTTTACTATTGGACCTGGCTCTGGCACTCCACCACTGTCCTGAAATCATTAGTCTGCATTGTTTTAGAATGCAAAGGGAAGATCTTTTTCAGATGAAAGGAAACTGACGGTTCGACTATACGTTGTCAATAGTATTGGTGTAAAATCTTTGGTTTACAAATCAATAATAATCTCCACTGCTGCCATCTTCTGCCAGTCTTCTGGGTCCACAGTCATCAGCCAGTCTTTCCTATAGGCTGCCACAGATGATGCCACTCTGGCGTCAATGGGAGTCAGTTTGTCCTGTCACTTTAAGCCCTCATTCACATAGGAATCGGCCGCACGTACAGCTCCGTGCTGCGTGCAGGGCCGTATTGAGCAGCTCCCGGGAAGGAGGATAAGTGCTGCGTGTGATTAGTGCGCAGCCCCCGTCCTCCTCTATGGGACTACGTGGCCGTAAGCCCTCCTACGCTCACCTGCCCTGCACCTCCGGACGAGTGCGGGTGAACGTACTCGTACGCTGACATGATGGATCCTGTCTGCGTCCGAGCCAGGAAACACGCACCCCTACGACCTGCACTTCAGGTGAGCGTGGGGGGTGTACGTCCGCGTAGTCCCATAGAGAAAGACACGGGCTGCGTACTAATCACACACAGCACCTGTCCTTCCCGGGAGCTGCTCAGTACGGCCCTGCACGGAGCTGTACGTGCGGCCGATTCCTATGTGAATGAGGGCTAACGTGCCAAGATTGTGCAATGAGCTGCGCTTGTGCAGCTGTCGGTGTGCAATTAAACACAAATTGCTAGCAGGCCAGGAATGAGCTTTTTATGGCAGAAGTGGTATACAGAGTCTTTTCTGCCATAAAAACCTTCCTGCTAGAATTTTTCTTTTAAAAAAAAGAGTTCAGTACAGTTTTAGGTGAACTCTCTTCTGGATCACTGAAACACATTTGAATTTGCTTTCTGTGATCATCCATTGCCATGGAATCTCACTCAATAGGTTTGGTTTCTCGCAACTGTCAGATAATCAGTCTGTTAATCCCATTTTTTTTACATACTCTGTTCAAAGAATAGACATATTTTAACAGTTTATAAATGAATTATTGCAAGTAGAATGAGTGTAAAAAAATATAATCAATTACATTTTTGGAAAGGACAAACAGCTCTGATGGTTGGACATTGTGTAGATTTCAGCAATAATATATTCCCCCTTTTTTTGCTCTCCAGCTGCTGTGAAGTGCAGATCAAAGCTCTTGCCAAAATCCATGCCTTTGTCCAAGACTCGTAAGTAAACCCATTAACACATTTGATAACTGATAAATGAACCATATTATAAATGTTTAATTTCCAACTTCTGGAATATGTGGGTATAACAACCACACATGCCCACTACTTCAGTTTGTGGAGGGCAGCAGTACAGAGATGGCCTGGTGACCTGCATCAGTTTGCTGCCGGTGTTCTCGGCAATGGTTGTGTGGCTCTACATCAAGTGTTTGGTTTTTAAAAAGATGTAACCTTTTGATGTGCATTGACCAGTGAGATGTTTTCCAGGTCGCTGAATGAGCCCCGCCAGGCGGACATCCGGAAAGAGTGCCTAAAGCTCTGGGGGGTAAGAAGGATGTAAAATTTTATGTCATTTAGAGTGTGAGTTCCCAGTTGTTGTGCTGGAAACTACAAAAATGAGGGCCCTGCCTTTTAACAAGATGACCTTCTTAACACGGGGGCCCTACCCTCCTAACTCATAGGCCTTGTCCTCCTGACACGAGGACGCTGCCCTCCTGACACGAGGACGCTGCACTCCTGACACGAGGACGCTGCCCTCCTGACACGAGGACGCTGCCCTCCTGACACGAGGACGCTGCCCTCCTGACACGAGGACGCTACCCTCCTAACACTAGGACGCTGCCCTCCTAACCCAAAAGCCCTGATTTTACAATATATGATTTTTTTCTGTTCTAGATTCCTGACCAGGCTCGTGTCACTCCAACCAACACTGACCCAAAGAACAAGTTCTTCCAGCTCATTCAGGTTTGTCCTTAGTAAAAGCTGCATGTTCTGTGGGGTGGGAGTATTGGCTAGATTTTTAGCCAGTGCGTCGAGGGTTGCAGGCCCAGCCCATTAAAAATATTTTAGGTTACAGTCTGGTGGGTGCTCTAGGGATTCGTACACAGATTCCTTGCTGATCAGAGCAGTACAGAATGGATGTCACCTGTGTCCGTCCAGTTTTTGTCCTCCATTGTGCAATCGAGAGAAATAAACTGAACTTACCGGACACATATTAGATCTATGGGGTGTCGGATGTAAATGGATATGTGTCCATTTACATCAGATTACCCCCGATCCGTCACAATCAGGTCTGCCGAAATGGAATTGTGTTCTGTTTTAGTTTTCTGGACCTGGACGAAGTTGGGGCTAATCATATGTAAATGGACGCATGCCCGTTTAGATCCAGCTGCTCATACACTAGCAATGCGCTTCTGCTCGTTTGAAAGCGGCCTAAGGGGGACCTAAGACTTCCCATCCCTGATGTTTTTTTTTTTTTGTTCTATCCAGAGCCGAGATATTGATATGTATAATTGCAAGCCCACTCCGCTTACATCAAAGACACTAGAGAAGATCAGCCATGTGATGGATTATCGCTGTATGGTGTCTGGAAGTGAGCACAAGTTCCTCTTAGGGTTAGGGGTGAGTGACAATCTCCAGGAGTGCCCTTGAGTATTTGCTGAGGAGTGTATGATCCGTGTTCATGTATATATTGTCTCCCTGCAGAGGTCCCAGATATACACTTGGGGGGGTCGACCTTCAGAACGCTGGACTAAGCTAGATCTGAAAACAGAACTTCCACGAGACACCCTTCTGTCTGTAGAGATCGTCTATGAGTTGAAGGGGGAGGTGGGTACCTGGTTGCTCTATGATGGGATGATGGTGGTGTCTGCAGTTTCTGGATCGCTGCAGTTTGTGTAATGGACGACTTGTGCTGTGTTTACAGGGGAAGGCTCAGAGAAAGATCAGCGCCATTCATATCCTGGATGCTTTGTTCCTCAACGGCATGGACATCCGACCTCAGCACTTTAACCAGAGGCAAGTATTGAATACATGAACAGGAATTTCCTCTGTCTTATTGTTGTCAAAAGGCACGGGTGCAGTTTGTGAGAGCGTTTGGTGGTTTGTTTGTTTTTTAGCAGGTCTCCAATTACAAAAAAATAAGATAAAAATAGTTTGTTTAATACTTTATAAAGGTTTATATTTTCCTGATTTTGCGGTGGAATTTTTCCTTAAAGAGTAATCCCACTTTTGTTGAGAAAAAACAATTTCCTCTGGGTGATCTGTGTACATTGGAAGGATTTTAACCAACTTAGTGGCAGTTTCCGACCTGTTTCTAATCTGAGGGAAAAGCTGTTTGTTGCAGCATGTCCTTTGCAAACTGATCCCTGAATAGGAGGGTCTGAATAGAAAAAAAAACATCAGGGATGGGAAGCCTTAGCTTTATTATAACCAGCTGGTGGGATTCCTGTGTAATAATAGGGAAAGTTACAATGTCGGCATCCCTTTAGAGTAATTAACCCTTAGGTAGGATCTCACAAATGAAATTCCTACTGGAAGGGATGTCAAAAATTGTACCTGTATCTTAGTGCAGACTTCTGGGAAAATCAGTCATCCTATCGAAGAAGCAGGTAGTGACATTTCTGGGGGTGTTCCATACACCAGGTGTGTACGGAGCGCCCACTGGTTGCTATATTGCATTGGATTTTTGTGACAGATTTAGAACATTACAGTGGCTGCAGTTTTAAATAGAAAGGTAATTTGTAATAACTAGGCGCCCGGCTTCCATGATTGGCCAGCAAGCCGGCTCCATGCTTTCTCATCACATAGTGACGAGAAGCATGGGACGACTTCCTTCTTAATCGGGAAGCCAGGTGGTGAGTCATTACACGCCACCTGGTTTCCTTAATGGGACATCCACTACCCGGTATTTGGTATCGGCGAGTTCCGAAAGAAAAATATCGGTACTCGTACTCAGTACCAAAATACCGGTATCACTGCATTCCTAGTAATAACATTAAAATACTAAATGGCTCGTGCAACAATTATATAAGCTATATTCATTTTTTTAAAAGATTTTTTATTCATTGAAAGTGAAGTTACTCTTTAACAATAAATATTTTTCATCTGAGGGCCCTGCCTAATGTCACGAGGGCCCTGTCAGAACAAGAGGGCCAGGTCTTTTAACAGGAGGGCCCTATCTCAGAATACGAGGGCCTGGTCTCATAACAGGAGGGCCCTTTCTCATAATGCGAGGGCCCTGTCTCTTCACAAGAGGCCCCCTTGCCCTTGCCTTCAATAGTGCCTATTGCAGAAATAGGGTAAAGCATTCCTTTTATCCCCGAGTACTATTACTTCACACATAATTACATCCATTGGTAAGTTTTTGATGATCTACATTGTAATAGAAATGAATGCAGAATGACTTTAGTTTTTGTGTCTATTCTTCACCAGGATTCAGCTGGCAGAGAAGTTTGTGAAGGCTGTTTCTAAGCCCAGCCGGCCTGACATGAACCCCATCCGGTAAGTGAGACCTTTTTAGGGATCATGTTAGTGTTTAGCTTCTGAAAACTGTCTTGGTTGTTTTCTGCGCCCCAATTTTTGGAAAAGGAAATTTTCAGTTTTGCCAAACCTGTTAATTATTACCCTTACAATTAAGTGTGTCAGAGCTGAGGAGTATAATAAGTACTATCTTTGTCGCACTCCTTACCTATATGTCCCTTGTAGTGGGGGGTGCTCGCAGTGACTGCGGATGGCGCCGCGAATGTCAGCAAAATTGTAGAAATGTTACCAGCACACCAATCCTTTTAGGATAGCAAAAGCTTCAATTATTGGAGTTGTTTTGTCATATGACCAACAACTGCTTTCGGGACCACACAGGGTCCCTTCATCAGGCTTTAGCATTGACAATTGCACAGTGATCACACCTGAGGAGTATGACACACATTGTCTATATACAAGAGTATAATCAACGTTCCTTATGCATAGCGATCCATTGACAGCCACGGGGTGATCACAGGAGATGATGGCTCATGTGCCTGCACCTCACCATTAGGAAGATATCCCATCACTTCCTGTCCTGGTGACTGCTGTCGATTTTCCCAGTCGGGACAGAGCATTGAAACCCTGAGGTTCTGAGCTTCTCCACTATTTTGAATACCATTCAGAGCTCCACTTTAGCTATTGCAGCACATCTATTTTTGGAATGCTTTGTGTTACAGTGTTTGTCTCCCCTCCAGGGTGAAGGAGGTGTACAGGCTAGAGGAAATACAGAAGATATTCTTGAGGTAAGTGGTGCTGGACATGAAGGTCTGAAAGTAAATTCAGATTAGACCTTATCGGTTAAAATTCGGATTTCCGCTGTTATTCAGTGCTGACAGATACACTATATTGCCAAAAGTATTGGGACACCCATCCAAATCATTGCTACTAAATATTCTGCGTAAGACTGGGATGTCATTAAAGTTCATGTGCGTGTAAAGGCGTCCCAATACTTTTGGCAATATAGTGTACATATCCAAGCCTCCAGCAGGGCAATAGTGATTGTGCAAAGATCCTATATTTAAAAACAAAAAAACTATACAGCATGTATGCATTGTGGACAGACAGACCCTAAATATTGTATTTTGGTAAATCTCTTACTATGGGAGTAATATTGACAGGAAGGCAGCTATTCTCTATGATGGGATGGTGGTGGTGTCTTTTTGCTTTCAAAAATATCTGCCCCTTAGGATCAGAACTTTTGAAACATTTGCTTCGTCATTCGTGGGTGTTGGTCTCAAGTAAATGGACATTTTTTTCTCACCCTGCCTCTAGGCTGGAGATGAAGCTCAGTAAGAGTTCCAGCGGAATGTTACGCCTTTCCTACACCGGCAGAGACGACCGTCACTTCGTACCGGCTGGTCTGTACATAGTGAAGACTGTGAATGGTGAGTTTGTGGATGGATTTTATTGCAGTTTTCCCTCCCCAAGCAAACCGAATGCCTCGCCAGGACTTATGATGTGAACAGGGCACCTAGAAAACTATTTTTATGCTTTATAGGGTTTTTTTTGCCTTCCTCTGGATCAACAGGGGGTAGTGGGCATAGCGTTCCGTTTAGGCTTTTCTTTTTTTTTTTTTCCTCCATAGGTTGTACTCGATGGACATGTGTCTTTCTTCAACCTAACTATCTATGTAACTATGTAACTACCCCGCGCACGTGCAGTAGTGTACAGAAAGAAACGCAGCTTTATGCACATGGCGTGAACAAGCTCGTAAGGATAAAATGAAAACCATAAAACAAAAACTTTTGCTCCAATACTCACATGCAATTGGGAGTTGTAGCCCAGAGTACTTATTTTTTGCCACTAGATGCCGTTAGACTTCTGAGTTGACTTATGATAGTATTTTTGCACTGAATGGCACTCACACATTATAACATAAGCGCCGTTCAATGCAGCAGTAAGGACTTCTGTTGCGCAGGAGAAGAGGAAATCCCGGCCAAATTACAAGACTTCCACTATAATAGATATTTTCCTTTAGTCTTTTGTTTCCATAATACACTATTTAGAGGGAAAACCAAAATGTTTGACCTGTATCAATGAATATAGACCTCATCTCTGATGGTATATTGATTCTCTGGTTTCCAGACAAATAGCCAGTCCACATAAATGGTATTTGATCCAGCACTGAGCCCTACTCTAAACTTGCTGTCAGCTGCTATTGAATTGCAGTATTCAGTACAGGTACTGCTGCCGCACATAGTCCTCAGAAAGAAGCTGCTGCACACAATGAGGGACTTCTATCCTGAGTGGTGTTTTCCTGTAATACGCAGCCCCGTAATACTGAGGTTCCATTCCCATTACTGTCATATCATGGTTCTCTGTATGGTGCTGCGGAATATGATCGGAGCTATGTAAATGTATAATAATAATAGTATGTGACTGTGGTGAGGATATTGGAGTGTAAGCTCCTCTGGTGCAGAGACTGATGGGAATGGCTCAGGGTTCTCTATACAGCACTGCGGAATATGTCAGAGCAATATACATGTATAATAATAGTGTGAGACTGTGGGGGGGACATTAGCGTGTAAGCTGCTCTGTACAGAGACTGATGTGACTGGCTCAGTGTTCTCTGTAGTACTGTAATAGGTTCCATTCCCATCAGTGTCACTTCATGGTTCCCTGTATGGTGCTGCGGAATATGATCGGAGCTATGTAAATGTATAATAATAATAGTATGTGACTGTGGTGAGGATATTGGAGTGTAAGCTCCTCTGGTGCAGAGACTGATGGGAATGGCTCAGGGTTCTCTATACAGCACTGCGGAATATGTCAGAGCAATATACATGTATAATAATAGTGTGAGACTGTGAGCGGACATTAGCGTGTATGCTCCTCTGTACAGAGATTGATGTGACTGGCTCAGTGTTCTCTGTACTGCGCTGTGGTATATGTCAGAGCTATATAAATGTATAATAATAATAGTGTGTGACTATGGGGGGACATTAGAGTGTAAGCTACCCTGCTGCAGAGATTGATGTAAATGGCTCAGTGTTCTCTGTAGTACTGTAATAGGTTCCATTCCCATCAGTGTCACTTCATGGTTCCCTGTATGGTGCTGCGGAATATGATCAGAGCTATATTAATGTATAACAAAGCATGACTGTGGGGGGATATTAGAGTGTAAGTTCCTCTGCTGCAGAGATTGATGTAAATGGCTCAGTGTTCTCAGTAAAATACCATGTCCGTGACATAGATATTAGTAAGGAATCTCACACAGAGGTAACCCTACAAAGATGTATTCGTGGAACTGAGTATACATCCTTTATAATTACCAATGTTGCCTTGTGAGCTCTGCGCAGTAATTCTTCCCTGTCGTCTATCTGCAGATCCCTGGACGATGGCTTTTAGCAAGAGCCACAACCGCAAATATTTCTACAATTTGAAGACACACAAGTCCATGTTCGAAGTCCCTGTGGAGTCCATCTCACCATTTCAGTAAGTGTATGGGAGCTCAGATTAGGTGACTGCGTTGCTTCTGACAGGCTAGCTGAGGATGAGGAGAAAGGTGACACCGTGATCCAGTATTTTCGCTTTAGTTGAATTATATCTAATTTTTTTTCCTCTTTTCGTTAGCGTAGGCAAGGCTGTTTCTTTAATGAGGCAGCCTGAGGCTTTTGCTCAGTTGGCATCTCTTAGGGTCACATGGGACGGGGGGCAATAGAGCAGCATGGGCGTGCCCGCCCCCTTTTTGGCCATAACACCCCAGGTTGCCAATAGCCAGGTAGGGAGATGTGTAAGGGCCATATACTCGCCAGCCAGCTCTTAGCAACACTCTGGCTGGTATCCCGCCCAGCTCCTGGCAACCAGTGACATCAGTGAGGGTCCCAGGTTGCTAAGAGCAGGGCAGGGAGATGCAGAGGGTGGCGCTGACTCCTCTACCCACTGCTCTGATTGCGTGATGCCCCCCTCCCCCCGTTCAGACTTTCAAAAAATCTTGGAACACCGCTAAGCATAGAGTAGGGTATAGTAGCAAGTGTCTAATTGGAGAGATATCCCTTCACTTCCTGTCCTATAGACACAGGAGGAAGTGAGAGGAACCTTCTCCTCTTAGTAAAATGAGTAAAAACTTGCTCAAGGCAGCTGAAGACCCTGAGTGTCTTGGGTACCCAATCCAATAACCCAAGATAATGGCAGCCGCTGAGATCAGTTACTAGCTGAAGAATGTATTGGAGAATTTGTGGAATATTTTGCCCTTGTGCACCTTTCCTTTGGCTAATTAAGACATAAAAAAAGGATTGCACGGATCTTGCTTGTGCAATATCGCACAGATTCTTTATAAAATAATGCATTCACATACAGTCACATACAGGTAGATCATAAGCAGCGTTGTAACACAGACTGGAGAGACACTGCGAAGGGAGGCAGTCACCAGTGCTGCAGATGATCTTCGTCGCTGTTTTAGGGCAAAAGCGGTTTTAGACCAGGTAGAAAACAGCGATAGTAAATTAGAACTACTTGCAGAATTGAGTGATAGCGATTCGTTGGGAAATTCCTCAACAGACACTGAAAGTGAGGACAGCGAGGACTCTGCGACCGAGCTCAGTGATGTGCGAACTTGGTACTTTATTTACTGTGGTACGGATCAGGCAACGCCCCCAAAATTCCCATTTACTGGACCATTTTTTAAATTATTTTTTAGAATTATTTTTTATATTATAATTTCTTATAATTGTGAAAAAGTGTCAGGCAGGGCAGTGGACAAAGCTCTAGGGACAAAATTGAAGTGAAATAGTTTGATACATAAGTGTAATCATAGGAGATTACATTGTATTGTGTATTCTGTGTACGTTACAACTTTTCACTTTTGAATTTCCCGCCGACTGTGACGCTCGAAAACGAAACTAAAAGTCAGATGCCGGCTTTTATTTTCATTTTCGGCCCGCGTACAGCAGAGGACGCCGCGGGATCGCAGGGAGAAGGTGAGTGTCACTTTTCTCTGCAGCCCCGAGTCTGGCTCGGGGTTACCGCTCCTAGCATTGAAAATTCACCCCGAGCCAGACTCTGGATTACCGCCAGGGAGGTTAATTCCCCTGCTCCATGATTGCAGACAGGCCAGGGAAGGAATGGTACACACCCACGTCTATGGAGTGCAGTGGAAGTTTGTAGGATTGTTACCTTCATCCTGCCATGACATCCCATCTCTTGTCTTTCTACTTATTTATTTATTGTCCAATCAGCTGCACTTTGTCCCTCTTTCATGTATCTATGATGCATGCCCTTGGACACCTAGATAAGAGCTGGGGGCGGGGGGGTTCCTGCTTGAAAGGCTGCTACTCAGTTGTACTGTGGTCAGGCCAAAGCACTCCTTGCACTCTCCCCTGAAGCTTATCTAAGCCGTACTGAAGTGGTCTCACCCACCCGCCCTCATCTACATAGACAGCAAGCCCAGCACTTGAGTTTTCTCTCCCTGCTATCTGCACCAATTGGTGCTAGGCCTGCTGCAGGACACAGACTCTTGATGCTTTAGTTTGTGTTGTGGTCTCAGTCTGTACTTTGTGTGTCTGTCCTATTTCAGTGTCTGCTACTCGCAGCGGCTGTTTTGGGAGTGGGGAGAAGGCGTCCAGATCCACGACTCTCAGAAACAGGACCCCGGCGCGGACAAGCTCTCCAGAGACGCAGTTCTGGACTTCATTCGAACACACCAGCCCTGCTCCTCGGGGGGCAGAGAGGAGAGGTAGTCCTGACACGGGAGGCATCTGACGCACGGAGGTCCGACCCTCCTTCTCCTGGACTTTGATTACATTTTAAGAGACTTGACACGTGAGCCTGGAGATTGTGGAGGGATCTCCTATCTACTTCCTTACAGAGGCCTGAATTGCACTGCAGAGAGAGAGAGAAAAAGAAATATATTTTGTTTTGCCCCTGGTGTGGCTCCTCTTCTACTTTGTTAGCGTTTCTATTTTTGATGAAAGGTTGCTTTATTTTTGGCTTGTTACAGTTTATCTGTCTTGTTATTATTATTCGTATCACACTGTGGTTTTGAATTGCTAGGTACCGGTAATCTGATGATTGGACTGAGCCATGAACAGTGATGAAAAGTCAATCGGTGTGTCTCCGTAAGTCTCATCTGGTCATTTTCTGTGTCTGGTAGGTTTTGATCGAGGATTGACCCTCTGCAATGGCCCCAGTACCATCATCTCATTACAAAGAGCCAAAATAAGTACAAAATACCAATATGGGGGGGGCGGGGGTTTTCCAGCCTCTTGATGTGTGCTGCAGAGGCACAACTGTTCTGTGGAAGAGAAGCATCACAGGAATATTTTAATCCACATAAATTCTTTACTGGGACACAGCACTGTGGGGTTGGGACACTAAGACCATTAAAGAAACCCTGTCACCCAGCGCCCTTCCTCGTAGGCCTGGAAGCCGCCTCAATGCTGATTGGCTAGGAAGCCTGGCGGCGGGTAATGACCCCGCGCCCTTCCTCATTCCAGCCTCTTGATTTGTGCTGAAGAGGCACAGCTGTTCTGTGGAAGAGAAGCATCACAGGAATATTTTAATCCACATAAATTCTTTACTGGGACACAGCACTGTGGGGTTGGGACACTAAGACCATTAAAGAAACCCTGTCACCACTGCACACATTGCAGTCAATGTAAACATTTAGCACTTTGGTATCAGCATGCTCTTTCTTTTTTGATCAATTCAGTTTAGTTCTGTGCTGCCAGTACTTCTGGCAATGTTGGAAGCCCTCTCTTCCTACACATCTTGATTCCCCCTGCCCTGCCTTCACCAAGGCTTCAGTAGTTAAACAATCCAGTAATGTTAATGCTGGCAGTCACATTGTTGGATCGTTCACCAGAGCAATCACTGAACAAGGTGGATAGAAGCCTCGGCATGCTTCACAGTCTCCTATGAGGCTTCCCGTTCGCCCCCTGAGGGGAGCCATGACAGGCTGAAGGAACAGGTCCATGTACTTCACATATGTAGCAGTTTCTTTTGTTTTGTTTTTAATGCAGTAATAAAGTAAAATATACACCTGTACAGGTGTCTTCCATCTACAGATACTAAAAGAAAGTTATTCCTTACAGGGAGGATATAGTGGTGAGCCGTCAGTTTATACCCCATGGCGCTTTCGGTAAATCCTAGACCGCATGGGCAAAAGTTTGCGGAAACCTGACCATCGGAACGCTAATCTTGATGTCCTTTTCCAAAACCATGGCCAGTAATGTAGAGTTGCCCCCTTTGTGGCTGTAACAGCCTCTATTCTTCTGGGAAGGCCTTCCACAAGATTTTGGAGTGTGTCTGAGGGAATCTGTGGCCAATTATGGGATCGCAAAGGTGTTCAGTAGGGTTGAGGTCAAGGTTCTGTGCAGGCCACTCAGGTTCCTCCATGCCAAACTAGTGAAACCATGTCTTTATGGAGCTGGCTTTGTAGTAGTCATCCTGGAACATACAAGGGCCCTCACTAAGGTTGGAAGTGCACAATTGCCTAAACTGTCTTTGTGTGCTGTGGTACTAACACTACTCTTCACTGGAAACATTGGAGCTAGGGATGCACCAAAACTGAGACTAGTATCGGTGCTGATACCGAGTATTTGGACAAGTACTCGCCCAAATGCTCCGATACTTACCCCTGATACCGGATCTTTCGGTCAGAGGGAGATTTCCTCTGACCGGCAGTGCCACAAGGGAATATGGAGCCGGCTTCCCAGCCAATTAGGAAGGCAGGCGGCAGGTAATGACTCGGCGCCCAGCAAGCCGGCTCTATGCTGTTTGGCCGGGAAACTGGCTCCCCAGCCAATCGGCATGGAGCTAGCCAAACAGCATGGAATCGGCTTCCCCAGCAATCCTGGCAGCAGGTAATGACTCAGCGCCCTTCCTCATAGGCCAGGAAGCCACCTCGATGCTGATTGGCTAGGAAGCCTGGCGGCGGGTAATGACCCAGCGCCCTTCCTCATAGGCCAGGAAGCCTCCTCGATGCTGATTGGCTAGGAAACCAGTTCCATGCCAGCAGAAGCACTGATATCGGCAAGTACCGAAAGATAAATATCGGTACTCGATACTGAAAAAACTGGTATCCCTAATATCCCCCGGTGCATTCCTAATTTAAGTTCGGCCATTTGGAGGGGGGCCCATATACATTTGGTTATATAGTGTCTTTCTCAATATTTGCGGAACTAGAAAAACCCCCCAAATCCGCGTATCTGTAACTTGCAGCCGGCTACTTTGGAGCTTGTTGGCAGGAGATGCGCACAGTTCCCAGCTCTTCAAATCTTTGTACACATGAATGTTGTCTTCCCAATTCCTTGTCAGATGGCTCCACTGGTCGGTAATCAACAAGTTTGTCCCAAATATGCAGTCGATACTCAAAGACGTCGCCTAAGTGCTGCTGTGTACTTGGTCAGTAACTGATACTTGGAATTTATGAAATACATTCTCGGTACACATTAAAATCTCAGTAATGACTCCTGTGTCTATGAAGCCTTCAATTGTCTGGTGGCTCCTATGGGACTCATACATGAGATGACTGTCAGATCCCAGTTATGGTCGGTTAAGGAGGTGATTGCATGGCTACTGACTGGCTGATCAGGGAGGGAAGGATTTTTCCACCAGTTCTTGTGCTCTCAAGGTTAGGTTGGAGACAGCCGGGTCTGTATGTAGGGTGCAGGAACATTGTAACCGATGTGTTTATGCACCAACCACCATTCAAAGTGCTCATTCATTGGTCGGATGTTACGTCTGTGGACACCATCAGTCCGCCGTAGGTAGAGTTGTCAGCCTGGGACACCCTGTACATATGTGTTTTATGCATGTTTGGCTGAGGAACAACAGACTCCTATGACAATAAACCACTTCAGTGGAAACCAAAGGATTATTGGATGGCTCTTTTCATGTCCATTAAGGCTCTGGAGTTTGCGTGGTATATTGCAGCAGAATCTCTCTAGAAATAAGGGAGTAAGATCATGAAAAGCAGAGGATAAAAGAACATGGCAGCTTCAAGGGAAGTGCCAGCAGGGACCATAATTAGGCACGCCCCAAAAGTTTGCATTTAAGATCAATCAGAATTTTCCTGCCTGCACAAAGTGCTCTTGACTTGTGGAGGTATGCTGGGGACAAAATCATGTGGGTCTGATCATGTGATCATAGTAAAGGCGCTCTAGCCACTTAGTGCTCATTTACAAAGATTTCAACAAGCGCATCGAAATGGACTCGCCTGGTATCTGCAAAATAAGTGAGGATCTACAATAAAGCTTCATAGCCCTCACCTGTGCTTTTTGCTTTATACCTACCTTGTCCAGGTAACTTCAGGCTGCTCATGTGACATGCAAGGTCCTCTTCCTATCTTCTCCCTGCATCATTGTATGCGAGTGAAGGGTGCTGTGCTGATGACCCCCTAAAGAAAGTGGATTCATGTTGCCCTACACTCACAGGATGTCCTCAGTCTCCTGGGTTAAATGACACTGGGTGTTATTCAATCCTGAAGAGTGAGGACATCTAGTGGCGGAAAGGAATTGCTGCAGAGGACGGCTCCAGACTGGTAGTGGAAGTATCTCAGAATGGATAATACATGGAACGTTGAGATGGATGGACAACAGCCAGAGGCCATTCCTACCAGCCAAGAACAGAAATCTGAGGCTGCAGTGGGCTCAGGATCACAAATTGGACAGTTGAAGACTGGAAAGATGAAGCCGCGTCTGATGAACTTTTACTGAGGTACTCAAATTGCAGGCCAGTCATCAGATCTAAATCCCGTAGGCCAATAGATGGCGCTGAGGAGCATTCCGCTGGGCAGCAGAGTCATGAATCAGCCTCATGCTGTAACCCAGGCACAAGCAACCACGGCACTCTAGATGTGGTGAAACTGCAACTCCCATGAGGCATTGCAATGTGCTGCAGAAAGCTGGGTGGCAAGTAATGACCCGCCTCCCGGATTCCTGATTGGCCAGGAAGCCAGCCGATCAGCATCGAGCAGCATGAACCCCTGGCTCATTGTTGATTGGCCAGGAAGCCCAACTTCCCGGCCAATCAGCATCGAGGCAGCCCTACAGCCACCTTCTTGCTGATTGGCTGGGAAGGCGAGTCATTACCGCCCCCGGCTCCCTGATTGGCTGGGAAGCCAGTTTCTCGGCCAATCACAATCGAGTCAGCCAATCAACATGGAGCTGGCTTCCCGGGCACTCAGGAAGCAGGGCGGCGTCTTGATTGGCCGGGAAGCCGGCTCCATGCCAGCGGAAGCACCGAAAGCAAAATATGGGTACTCGTACTAGACCCCGAAAACCCCAGTATCGGTGCATTCCTAATGTTTAGCGCATAGTCTGTAATTGTGCAATGCCCCGGCTACATACTGTATGCAACATAATCATGGAAGAAAATAAACCGCTATGCATTAAAAAGAGTTATTCAGCTGAATGTAACACAAAATAAAACGTGACAAAATCACTTTATCACAACAGTCCTGAGCACCTCCCCCAGGCTATTGCGTATTCTCCGCTACAGAACAGGCCGAGTCTTTTTAGTTTGGTCACACTGAAGATCGCAGCGTCCCGTTATGGGGGGGGCTTGTTTATGAAAATGTGGTTTTACGGCACTTTGTACTATCTGCTGTACAGTCTTGCCTGGCTTTTCTTCATATTCCAATTTGGGAAAAACAAAAGGAACAAAGAAAATAAATAAATATATTGACTGTTATATTAAAAAAGAATTGACGTCTCCATTGTGACTTTTATTACCAGGCCCCTTGTAGGCGGGATTATGGCTTCATGGAATGTCAGTAAAAATACGACCCGTTCGGCACTGTCCAATGACATTCATGGGAAGGTGCTGGAGAGGCGTCCATAGATTCCCAATCAACGACCGGCTGTGCGCTGATCAATACATTCACGTGTCTGCGTCTAGAGACGACTGTTCCATCTCCTGCCAGGAATGCGTCACAGAGAAGGCGGGGAGGTGTGTCCATTGCGGATCCGCGTTCCTCCATCACATGGTCCAGCTGTAATACACCAGCGAGATGAACAGGAAGATGGCGACTGACAGCAGCATGTTCTTGCGGTTCTCGTGGCGCAGAGATTTCAGCTCTTTCTCTGTGAAGGGGAAGAATAATGGCGGTTAGAGAGCGAACGCACGAAGGACCGAAGAGTCTTAAGAGGAAACCCGACTCACCATAACGAGACATCTTGTTGGTCAGAGAATTCTTCTCTTTTTCCAAAGATTTTCTGCAGAGAAAAAAAAAAAAAAATTCAGATGATTTTTCTTTTCCTACAAAGATTTATGGATCTGCCAAGAGACGATCAAGGGTAAAAGTTTGGACACCCCCCAGTCAGTTTACAATTTGGGATGCATTTATAAACAATCTGCAGAGACATTCGTCCTCCATGTACATTCGATCTGTGCGAAAGGAGGCAACAATGAATATTAGTATTTTTTGATTGTACAGAACAGGACACAGGTGGATTCAGAGACCACTGGGTCATACGCAGGTGCCATCAGGTGAGGGCCGAATGTAATATAGGGAAAATACCACATTATGGCCACTAGTTGGTGCTGAGGAACAAAATCCTTTTCCCCAAGTGGCTCAGCTCCATCTAATGGCCACAATGTGGTATTTTCACCATATTACACTCGGCCTAGAAAAAAAAATGCCAATAACATTCTTACACTGGTAGCCATTGGGAGAAGTGCCTCATTACATTGGGGGCCATTGGGTAAAGGACCACCTTCCACGGAGGGTGATTGGCAGAAGGCCCCCCCCCTTACACTGGTAGCCATTAGGAGAAGTGCCTCATTACATTGGGGGCCATTGGGTGAAGGACCACCTTCCACAGAGTGTGATTGGCAGAAGGCCCCCCCTTACACTGGTAGCCATTAGGAGAAGTGCCTCATTACATTGGTGGCCACTGGGTGAAAGACCACCTTCCATGGGGGGTGATTAGCAGAAGGTCCCCCTTACACTGGTAGCCATTGGGAGAAGTGCCTCATTACATTGGTGGCCACTGGGCGAAGGACCACTGTTCATTGGGGGTGACTGGCAGAAGGTCTCCCTGTACCGATGGAAACATGGAGGATGCCATTGCTGACCTTGACCAGGCTGACGCCTGATTCAGTGACGATTATTCAGCAAGTGAAGTGAGAACTCCTGATCTGCACACTCATTACAGGTCAGTGCCTCAGAGCAGGAGTTGGCAACCCCGGCTGTTATAGAACTACAAGTCCCATGAAGCATTGAAAGACCCACAGCCACAAGCATGATGGGATTTGTACTTTCACCACTGTTGAGTGCCACCTGCCTTAGGACATATTGAAGTCACTAAGCCAGGCAAATAGCATTTTCAAAAACAGCAGCCTGTGTATTCCCATCAGCGTCCACTCTGGGGAGATGTAGAATGCCAATACAGCGGTTGGGTTTGGGGGATGTGGCTTAGTGACATCATGCGGGGGGGGTCATGTGATCATTATGTCCATTGGCGACTGAGCAGCGATCACTTACCTCCCCTCCTCCGTCAGCTCCAGTTTACGTAGTTTGTAGTCAACATCGTCCAGGTTGGTCCTGCAGGCGGCCAGCCGCTCCTCCATCCCGTCTATCTGTAATACAGAGGCGCAGCCATGTCAGATTTGCAGCATCTCACATTACAGCACAAGGCTCACTTAGTCACTGGGTGTAGACACCTAATGAACCACCCAGAGCTCCCGCCAGCAGAGGGAGCGGAATGTTCAGGATTCTTTCCCAGAAAGAATAATTAATGGCCATTACAGCACCCAGGGAGGAAGGGAGCGCACACCTCTGCAGGAAAAGAGGACGTTAGAAACAGTTGCCAGAGGTAACAGCAGAAGACCGAGTCTGTACAGCTACATTCTGATTGGTTGCCAGGGCCAGCAAGAACCACACCCCTTCCAACCACTGGTGTCATTGTGAACGGGACAAGGCCTTCTGGCACAGATGCTAAGTGTGCCACACTGCTCACCTTCCCAAGTCGAGATGGGTACAGAAATAGCAGTAATTGTCCACTGGGGAGGTGGGGGTTCAATGGTCTGCAGGCTTCCATGCAAAAATGTAATACACATACATAATATAAAATATGTGGGCGCATTTATTACATTTTTTAAACACTGTGCCTTTAAACAGCTGTGTAGCATTTGCACGCTGTGGTCGTAACTATTCACAAATTTTGACACTGCAGCCAATCAGAAAAGGTCTGGTACTGTCACGTGACGGTATTAGAGTTTCCCGATTGGCTGCAGTTCCAAAATTTGTGAATGGTAAAAAAATGATACTAAGCTGCGGAAGCGGTGCCGTTTATTTCCTCTCGGCTGTCATTTCTCTGAATGTACGGCGGATGAAACGGGCTGCACACTTCGGTATCCGGCCACACCGGGAATATTGGAGAATTTTCTTCCAACCCGTCTCTGTACTACAGCTTGCAGCGCCCTAAACAGCCCTCATCTGCCTCAGGGATGGCCGGGCTTAGGTGTAAAATGATGGGAAACATCACCTCTCTGACCACGCTGATCTTCTCTCGCTTCTTCTTCGCCATCCTCCTCTCTTCCTGGACACGTCTCCTTCCTGCAGCTTCAGGGGCTACAGCCCGTGTACGCCTGACTCCACTTCCGCCATCTTTACTGCTGGCAGCAATAGCGATGATGAACTAGGGAGTCCGCCATCTTTATTGTGGACAGACCTCTAACAGCAGGTACAAAATGTCGCCATCTTTGTTAAGGGCAGACACTGCGCAGAGGTGACTGAGGCAGCCATCTTTACTTCAGGCTGCAGAGACAAAAAGGGCCATTGTTTTTAAGGGCAGCGCCAACTATATGGAGATGAGCAGCGGTCATCTTTATTGAGGGCAAACCAGGAGCTACGGTTACACATTATATGTAGTATTGCCTAATTTGGTTTAGGATAATTAATGTTTTGAGACTTATTTATTAAAAGACCTTTGTACATAAATTTGTATTTTTTAAATTGTCTCTCGGGTTAGTGAATATTGCCACTGCTTACATTTAATGGAATGTCCTAAAACAGTGGTTGTCAGCTGAGTAGATATTGGGGGCAAGAATAGGGTTGTCACCTTTCTTAGATATAAAAATAAGTGAACAAGGCCAAAGTGATGTGGGTGTGACTTTAATGGCGTGGTTTTGATGGACCATAACATCTGGATAAAACGAAATCTGTCAGTGTTAAAGGTCACTCCTCATAATGACATCACAGCCCTTCTCCTTAAACACCATGGGGAAGTATTGTCTGTAATGCACAACATAGGGTGCAGGGGTCTGTACTATAATGTACAGCATAACCCTCGTCAACTCCTCCCATGCTCGTCTCCAGGACTTCACTAGACCCTCTCCCATCCTTTAGAACTCTTTACCCCAACCTGTCCGTCTATCTCCCACTCTGACTGCCTTTAGGCGATCCCTTAAGACTCATCTCTTCAGGGATCCTATCCCACCTCAACCTAACCACTGAACCGTCACATTCTCAAACAATTTATCCCCACTCAGCTCCCTCCTCATGTATCACTTCCCCCTCCCCTTTTAGATAGTAAGCCCTCAGGGGCATGGCCCTCCTTACCATCTTGTCTTGAATTGTATTGTGATTGTAACGTCTTCCTTATATTGTAAAGTGCTGCGCAAACTGTTGGCGCTATATAAATCCTGTATAATAATAATAATAACATACAGGGTTCAGGGGTCAGGACTATGTCATGTACAACATAAGATTTAGAGTGCAGGGGTCAGAACTATGTAATTTACAGCATAACATATAGGGTGCAGGGGTCAGGACTAATGCACAGCACAGCTTATAGGGTTCAAGGGCCAAGACTTTGCAATGTACAACATAACATGTAGGGTGCAGGGGTTAAGAGTATGTTACATACAACATAACATAATATAACTTGTAGGGCGCAGGGGTTAGGACTATGTAACATACAACATAAAATGTAGGGTGCAGGGGTCACAACTATGTAATGTACAACCCAACGTATGGGGTGCAAGGGTCAGGACTAGGTACTGTACAGCATAATGTGTAGGCTGCAAGGATCAAGCCCAATCTACCACATAACGTATTGGGTGCAGGGGTCAGAACTAGGTATTGCACAGCATAATGTGTAGGGTGCAGAGGTCAAGACTAATGTACAACATAATGTGTAGGGGGTAGGGGTCAGAACTATGTAATTTACAACATAACCTATAGGGTGCAGGGGTCAGAACTAGGCAATACACCGCATAATGTGTAGGGTGCATGGGTCAGAGCTAGGTATTGCACAGCATAATGTGTAGGGTGCAGAGGTCAGAGCTAGGTATTGCACAGCATAATGTGTAGGGTGCAGAGGTCAGAGCTAGGTATTGCACAGCATAATGTGTAGGGTGCAGGGGTCAGAGCTAGGTATTGCACAGCATAATGTGTAGGGTGCAGGGGTCAGAGCTAGGTATTGCACAGCATAATGTGTAGGGTGCAGGGGTCAGAGCTAGGTATTGCACAGCATAATGTATAGGGTGCAGGGGTCAGAGCTAGGTATTGCACAGCATAATGTGCAGGGTGCAGGGGTCAGAGCTAGGTATTGCACAGCATAATGTGTAGGGTGCAGGGGTCAGAGCTAGGTATTGCACAGCATAATGTGTAGGGTGCATGGGTCAGAGCCATGTATTGCACAGCATAATGTGTAGGGTGCAGGGGTCAGAACTAGGCAATACACCGCATAATGTGTAGGGTGCATGGGTCAGAGCTAGGTATTGCACAGCATAATGTGTAGGGTGCAGAGGTCAGAGCTAGGTATTGCACAGCATAATGTGTAGGGTGCAGGGGTCAGAGCTAGGTATTGGACAGCATAATGTGTAGGGTGCAGGGGTCAGAGCTAGGTATTGCACAGCATAATGTGTAGGGTGCAGGGGTCAGAGCTAGGTATTGCACAGCATAATGTGTAGGGTGCAGGGGTCAGAGCTAGGTATTGCACAGCATAATGTGTAGGGTGCAGGGGTCAGAGCTAGGTATTGCACAGCATAATGTGTAGGGTGCAGGGGTCAGAGCTAGGTATTGCACAGCATAATGTGTAGGGTGCAGGGGTCAGAGCTAGGTATTGCACAGCATAATGTGTAGGGTGCAGGGGTCAGAGCTAGGTATTGCACAGCATAATGTGTAGGGTGCAGGGGTCAGAGCTAGGTATTGCACAGCATAATGTGTAGGGTGCAGGGGTCAGAGCTAGGTATTGCACAGCATAATGTGTAGGGTGCAGGGGTCAGAGCTAGGTATTGCACAGCATAATGTGTAGGGTGCAGGGGTCAGAGCTAGGTATTGCACAGCATAATGTGTAGGGTGCAGGGGTCAGAGCTAGGTATTACACAGCATAATGTGTAGGGTGCAGGGGTCAGGACTTGGGCTTACTTCCCAAATATAGAGTCCATCTTGAGCTCTGCATCAGAAAGCAAAATGAGTTTAGAAACACTTTCAGCCCCCCTCACCGCTGCTGCTAAAGGTCCCGGGTCACCCACCCATTTTTATCTTTGGCATGTCTTTGTTGTTTTTTTGTTCTGGCTTGCTCCACATTAACATCAGAATTATATATAAATATTATTTGGAGTGTATTATTTTTTTTTCAACGACCCCATCAGAATGTTTGCAGTCAGATTATTGAGCAACGTAATGGAAATGTGTTACAATCACCACCAGAGGGCAGTCACACCCCACCAATGGCTCTGCTCTGTGTCTTCTTACTGACATTTGTAACGGTGAACCCACCTCCCTAATAATGACATATCAAACCTTCTGCCCCTCTGACAGCCGGGGGGGCCACAAGTTTGAACTTCACCCAGGATATTTTCCATCCTGCTCAATAGAGTTGTCTCTTTAACTCATCCAACAACCTTTGCTGCGCGTTTAAAGATTGTAAGCTCTTCTGGTCAGGGTTTTCATCCTTAGAGGCTTGGCTATGGTCCTATTATGTCCTACTTTGGTCAAAACTGATGAGTGTTGGCGCTATGCAAAAAATAATAATGCATGCGCAATGTATATGACTGTTAGCACTGTGAACAAGTCCCACCATCTCACTGCGCTAGAAATAACACATTACAGCTCACAGTCTCTGACCGCAGTCACAGCCCGGTAGCAGTCACAGCCCGGCAGCAGTCACAGCCCGGCAGCAGTCACAGCCCGGCAGCAGTCACAGCCCGGTAGCAGTCACAGCCCGGTAGCAGTCACAGACGGGCAGAGGGGAAATGATTCTGCTTGTCATAATAGTTCTATCGTCCTCAGGTTCCTATCTGGAGGATAACCCATTGTACAGAACAAGGGCAAAGCTCCTACCCTGTGCTCACAGTGACGTGGGTAGAGAGGTAGCACGGGTTGTGGTGCAGCCGGGCCCCTGTGTCTGTACCAGCACATGACCTCTGTCACCATCAACATCACCAAGTGTTCGGCCAAATAAATTCTTCTGGAGGAGATGGAATGAAAGGTGGAGGGGTAATATTATATGTATAGGTGGGTTAGGTGATTAGGAGTGGTTATGCTGTATGTGCTGGTGATGTGTTAGGTGCGGAGGTGAGGCTACGTGTGCTGGTGGTGGGTTAGGTGCAGAGGTAAGGTTATATGTGGTGGGTTAGGTGCGGAGGTGAGATTACATGTGCTGGTGGTGGGTTAGGTGCGGAGGTGATGGTATATGTGCTGGTGTTGGGTTAGGTGCAGAGGTAAGGTTATATGTGTTGGTGGTGGGTTAGGTGCGGAGGTGAGATTACATGTGCTGGTGGTGGGTTAGGTGCAGAGGTGAGGTTATATGTGCTGGTGGTGGGTTAGGTGCGGAGGTGAGATTACATGTGCTGGTGGTGGGTTAGGTGCAGAGGTGAGGTCATATGTGCTGGTGGTGGGTTAGGTGCGGAGGTGATGGTATATGTGCTGGTGGTGGGTTAGGTGCAGAGGTGGGGGTTAAATGTGCTGGTGGTGAGTTAGGTGCGGAGGTGATGGTATATGTGCTGGTGGTGGGTTAGGTGCGGAGGTGAGGTTACATGTGTTGGTGGTGGGTTAGGTGCGGAGGTGAGATTACATGTGCTGGTGATGGGTTAGGTGCAGAGGTGAGGTTTTTATGTGCTGGTGG